TAATTCTACAATATAGGGTGTCTTCAATCAGTTTGGAAGTATAGCGTTATTGTTGATAGTTTTTACGTACTGTGTTTGACATGTAGTAGAAGTATTCATATTTTCAAATAAATTTATATAAGTTTGTTTTATATAATGGCTATGTTCGAAGTGTTAAGAAAGGAGTATAGTGTAAGGATCATAATAATTGATAGCAATTTTGAGGTTATGTTGTTTTTGTTTTTAAATATTTTCATTCACTTTTTAGGAGTATTTGCAACAATGTTTCGAAGTGTCGGATATACAGACGTTTCAAAAGAAATGCACAGAACGATGTGCAAATGATAATGATAGAAAAGCTGCAATTGACCAAGCATTAAGAGATACTCTTCTTGTAATATTATCTGAAAATGTATCAAGTAATGTGCAATTACTTGAAACTTACATTACATTTTGCATTGAATTATGCAGAAAAGACTTAGCAACTGCAAGCATGCCAGTGATGTTGCTTGGTGATATATTTGATTCCATGACACTTGATAGGTGTGAGCAGCTCTTCACTTTTGTTGAGAATAATGTGGTTGTATGGAAAGAAGATTTGTTCTTTAGTGCTTGTAAAAATAATTTGTTGAGGATGTGCAATGACTTACTTAGAAGATTATCTCGATCACAACAAACTGTATTCTGTGGAAGGATTCTTTTATTCTTAGCAAAGTTCTTTCCTTTCTCTGAAAGATCTGGTCTTAATATTGTGAGTGAATTTAACTTGGAAAATCAAACAGAATTTGGCTCTGAAAAATCAGAGAAAGATGATTTGGAGCAAATAACAAAGGATGATGATAAATCAGAAACAAAAGTGCCAATTGATTATAATTTGTATAGAAAGTTTTGGGCCTTACAAGATTTCTTTAGAAATCCAAATCAGTGTTATAGCAAAATGCATTGGAAAGTATTTTCAGCAGTAAGTTTATATTATTATTTCATCATAATTGTAGAATTTTTTTATAAGTCTTCTATTTTTTAGCATGCTTCAAGTGTGCTGTCAGCATTTTCTTCTTTCAAATTGGAAGAACAACGTAATTATCCTTCAACTTGGGTAAAAGTTGATTCTTCAGCGGAAGGATCTCATAAGGAAACTCCTTATTTTGCAAAATATTTAACAAATCAGAAATTATTGGAACTACAGCTGTCTGATTCAAATTTTAGGCGATATGTATTGCTCCAATTTCTCATTCTTTTCCAATATCTTAATAGCACTGTAAAGTTTAAAGCGTAAGTATCTGTAAATTATGTACATTATTACGTACACTTGTATCTTACTACAATTGAATTCACAATTCCTCTTGATAGAATTGCACACTTTATAAATTATTAGTAAAATGACTTTGAAAGCTATAAAACGATGTTTGTTTTTCAAAGCTTCCTTGCCAGTGGCTATGAGACAAGGTCTGCTTTCCTTAAATAGTGTGTCAAGTTATTTATATCTCAGAGTTTCAATAACTTTTGTAATTTTTAAGTGAAACACATGAACTGAAGCCAGACCAAGTAGATTGGGTAAAGGCTACCACAGACCAAGTGTATGCTTTACTGACAGAAACACCTCCAGATGGTCCAACATTTGCAGAAACTGTTAAAAATATATTAAAGCGTGAAGAGCACTGGAATGCTTGGAAAAATGAGGGGTGTCCACCATTTAAAAAGCCTGCTCAAGAGTCTGATGCTGATATGGAAGAATTAAAGAAACCAAAAAGACCAAGACGTAGAATTGGAGATGTTATTAGAGATGCTCAAGCAGTAGGAAAATATCACATGGGAAAGTAAGCAACTCTTTGAAATATTATATATGTATCTTTCTGTAAAATGCATAATTAACTTTATTCTACAGTCCAGAACTTACAAAACTATGGAATCTGTGTCCTAATAACCTTGAAGCATGCAAATCCAAAGACAGAGATTTCCTTCCATCTTTGGAGACATATTTTGAAGAAGCTATCATGCAATTAGATCCTAATGCAATGGTAGAAGATGAATACAAGTGAGTACCTCTTTTATTTATTTACTATCATTAAATTAATTATTAATTATTCTACAGTATTATTTTGTATGTATTTATCTTAGGAAAGTAAACGATGGAAATTTCGGTTGGAGAGCATTAAGATTATTAGCCAGACGTAGTCCTCACTTTTTTGTTCATGGGAATTATCCCATTAATAAACTGCCGGAATATCTTGAAACGATGATTAAGAAAATTGCTAAAGATCGTCCAGTGTGTATAATACTTTAATTCTCTTAATTCATATAAGGTATTGTTTAAATTTAAAAATAAATTATCTGTAACACTTACAGCAGACACAATCGGACATAAAGTTAGAAACAGAAGAAACACCACCTCCAGAAGCAAACGACCAAGAATTCAATGAAGATGTTTTAAAACCAGAAACTGAACAAGTTGAATCCGAGAATACAGACCCAAAAGGACGAAAATTAACAAAGGTCACGCCTGAAATGGTGGCGAAGTTATCGGAGATTCTGAAAAACGATTGGAAGAAGCTAGCGACCAAGCTTGGCTATACCAGCGAAGAGGTAAACAAACTTTATAACAACCCAGCGTAGAGAAAGAAAGAGCATAAACAGCCAAGTCACGTATTTGTTTCTTTTTTTTAGATAACATTCTTTCAAAGCAAACCAACACCGTATGAGCAATGTAAAAATATGTTAGAAATTTGGGCTGAAGAAGACGTGGATGCATCTATGGAAAATTTGGCGTATATTTTGGAAGGTTTAAAGTTCACGGAAGCATTAGCTGTTTTAAAATCTTAAGTGTCTCTTAAAAGAGTATTTAAATATAAAAACAAAAAATGTGTACCTTAAGAAATGTACAGTACTACGTGAATTACACTTTTACAATTTTTCTAATGGTTTTTTTTTATGAATCCCAATATTACATTCCTATTATAATTTCCTATTCTATAGTACTATTGTACGTGTTCCTTTTGCAGTCGTGGAGCACAGTGAAATCACTCACACCACTAACTATGTTTACACCATAGTGATCTTTCCTGTGGTTCTCGTAATTAATTCGCAGGCTCTCCCGTCCAAGGATGGCTCGACAGAGTGCAGCAAATAGCTTTGTTTTTACACAGGTACATTGCAAACGTGTATACCCATGCTCAGTTAAAGGAATCTACTCAAAAACCATGTGAAATTACCCACCTTCGAGTTCCTTCCAACTTTGCATATTTGTAGATCTGTAAGGGGGTCATTGATTTCTGATATCCATTTGTTTACCAGGCTTGAGGGTCAACAGGCAGAGGGTTATAATTTTTGATCGAAATTTGTATACATTTTTCATTTTTTTAATGTAATAGTTACGCGAGTTTTTATTTCTCAAGGGCCCAAATAATACAGAAAAATTGCAATTTACAAAAAAGTAAGAAGCCTAAATTTTATACGAATTAAAATACGTTAATACACGTATATTAAGAACACGGATTTTTAATTCCCTAATACTTGTCACACGTGTAATAAGGAAGAGATTTCTTGAAAATTCATTTCATCAGTTAGTTTCACCTAATATTTACAGAAGAGCTACTGCAGTTGAACACAATGAAATAGGTTTTTCTAAACAAATAGTAAATGGAATAGAATTTACCGGTAGAAAAATAAATAAATGCCATAATAAAATAATACAGAGAAAACGCGCAAGATGTTTATATGTGTATCAACAATGATGACAAATATCAAATAAAATACAACAAAATAAAGGAATAAATGTTATTTTTTAATCATTTTTTCATTGTTCAATTGTACCGTTACTGTTAGAAATAAAAAAGTACAATAGAATAGAAACTCACAAGGGAAGTTCTTAAAAAAAAAAAGAGTTAAAGAATTTCTAAAGAAAAAAGGGTGTCCGGGGTAAATTTTGTTTCAGTAAGTCTATCTTACGCGAAAAATATGGAAACGTTACATGGTATCAACAGATCGAATGCGATTCAAGACTCCATTAGATGCACTTTCCGCCGTTTATTTAGAAAGACAATAATAAAGTGTACAAATAATACAAAATTTCGAACTAAAACGGTCCTCGGTGCAAACTATATCGAAGGATAGTTGGTTTTACATCGGTACGTCAAGATCTACAGTTACGGCATCGAGGGAATTTTCATATTTTTTTTTTTTTGTTATTTTTCGGTACGAAATCGATTCGCCAACAAGCATGCTGACAACCTAAAGGTATAGACCGACGTTCTCTCTATTTAATCGTAATAAATTAGTTTAACGTTAGTAATATATCGTATCTTTGAATTATAGACACTGACTTAGGCTCGATTTATGCTCGATGTAAAAGCAGAGGCCAACGACGATTAAGATAGCGACAGCTCGCGGAGTGGTAATGTGGTTTTTTTATTTATTTATTTATTTTTTTCGAACGAGAACTATACGTAAGTTATAAAATATTGCTACACATACGCCGAGTAATTTCGAAAGCTTATTCCACAACTGTTCACACAACTGGTTAGGCCAATTTCTAACGATCCTTTTCTTGCATAATATATATATATGTATATATATTATGTATACTGTCTGCTCGCGGTTTACAACTCCGGGTATCATCTCTGTGCAATTACTCTATCGCACCAAACGTGTGTCTGCCGCGAATTATACACGGAGCATAAATCCGGATTCCAAATATGTGAAACTCAATGGTCTTTTGTGTGGAATCCTCTCTTAATCGACCTGTTTCTTACATCTAACATACACACTCATATGTATTGGCTAAAGTGTAAATGCAATTCGATCGCGGATATGAATTCCGACATGTTATTTTAGGTCGTAGGGCAGCCGTTAGTTTCTTACGGTTCTTTCTTCTCTTTTTCCTTCTTCATTGTTCTCTTCTTCTTCTTTTTGTTGCTTTTGTCCCATTCCTTTTATCTCTTAACGGTAAAATTATGACTCGGGTGGCGGACATCCTTGTGCCACGCTTAGTGAAGAATCTCCTCTCGTAGCAACGATCTAAGTACTGGACGTTTATCGTGATGTAGGGAACCCCTAATGGCGTCGAGTTGGTTGACTTATGCGCGCCGAAGAAAAACGCGATGCCGAGTTTTTTCCGACACTCGATTAGCGACGACGGATTAAGAGTACAGGCGAGTAATCGATATGAAACACTGATGAACGATGTCTAGACGATCAGTCTTATTTCTTAAAGAGAGAACGGAAATTCGTATAAAGCGTTGGCTAATGACTCACGATTAGGAATATAACCTTTGGAATTACAAGATAGATTTCGCCCTTTTTAGAAACGAGATGGTCAACGTTATCGGTTAATCTCGTTTGAAAACGGTTCTCTTTTCATTTTTTCTTACTTTTTTCTCTTTTTCTTTCATTGCTTTTTAATCGATCCCATCAAATAGAAACGGTACACGACTGACGCATCTCGATTTCTATTTACACAACGTCGAGCGAAACTGTGTTTTGTTGGTGTTGCTGTTGTATTGTTTACGTGTGTTCAGAGACATAGATAGAGGGATGATACAGAAGGGGTGGAATAAGGGAGAAAGGTGGAAGGGAGGGTTAGTTTTCCATCAGAGAATCCAAATATTCTTTGTAATCGTTCTCCGACATTTCGTCCTCGTTCTCCACAAGCTCGACGCTTCTCCTCTTTCTTGTGGTCTCGCTGCTCACTTCTATACAGAGTAACGCGAACTTGTTGTCGCAGGAATAACGAACTTGTTCCAAGAGGCGTCCTCCAGTTAAGGGTGATCCTAATCCGTAGCGATCTGAGCTGCTCGAATGCCAAGCGTCGCAATACGTGTCCATTGCCCGGTCCCCTAATTTGTGTGAACCATGCCACGCTACTTTTTCTGGCCTGAAGAAATAGAAAAACATTCGGTTGAAATTTCAGGGAAATTAAACGTTTGCTAGATAATGGTTATTACGATGTAACGACTTTGTTTTTTTTAATTTTATCAAGATTTTAGAACGTTATTGCAAGAAAATCTTGGAGATACGGTAGACACGTTCTTGCGTTTAAGTATTTTCAATTTTATCGATAATCCTTCAACTATTAGAACATTAATTACCATCCTGTTATGTTGCATAACAGTATAAAGAAGTCAGATAATTACCATGCGAAGTCAGAGAGGATGTTCTTTCCATTGAAACTGTAGATCCTCGGGTTCTGCGAAAAATATGCCCCGTTGCCGTTGAACATCTCCTTCCACGAGTTGAAGAGTACGTCTCCCTGAAGATTCGAGTAACATGTGTAATACTCTTATGGGAAATGTTAAATAAATAGAATTGAAAGTGAAAAGACTCGGTGTATATTTCTCACAATTGGTCGTAGATCGGTGTATTTTAAATTGCGAATTACCTTTATGTTAACGATGGGGAGATCCCGATCTCCGAGTCTCACGATGCTGTCGACATTCTGCACCCTGGAGCTGAGGAATGCACGGAACGTACCCCTCAGACCAGCTCGTTTCGCTTGTCGATAACAAGCGTAGTCAGCTCCTCGTACACCGTGCATGTCTCCGGTAAACGGTTCGTTCAAAGCAGCCATACGCAACTAGAAATTGTAATATCGACGCGACATTCTTCTAGAAATTGATGTTTATTGCTGCGTCGGAAAATATTCTGACAAGGTGCTTTACAGATTTCCAGTACAGCCGATGAACGTGTTCTTGTGTTTTAACACGATCAGCAATCTTTTGTGTTAATTCATGAACTGCTATGACAGAAAATAAATTTCTACTTCGTAATGTAGGGATATAATTTAAGTGGTGTTTCAAGCTTCGCTAGGAATGCGGTTTCGTTTCTAGATTACACAGATGAACCTTCGTTTTTCACATTCTTCGCTCTTGTCACAGATTTTTACACGTATTCACACACTCTTACCTTATCTCGCGTGCACTCTCATTCAGAAGAACTGGCACTCGGTCCAAAACCTCACTCGATTCGACTATCACTCAGCCCAAACGCTCTTCATTCGCAACTCACTCGATCCAACTATCACTCGGCCCAAACACTCTCACCTCACGTCCCACACAAATTTTGACTTACTCCTGTATTTACTGTCCTTCGTGATCAAAATTTCTGATACGAGAAATTAGGTGTAATACACGCTTGACACGATATGAAAATTTGCTACGTTTAATTTTTCAGGAAAATGTAACGAAACGAAATATCTGTAAGAGAGAAGTGAAAGAGGGTAAGGGATGATGTTAACAGATTAATCGTACTAGTGTCTTACCATTCGTGGATACCACTTCGCAGCAGAAAGAAAATTCAATCGAAATTAGGTAATACATTAGTCTACCTCTTATCGATAACGTTGTACACTCAACAGGATTAAGATCACTCACCCCTGTTCCGTCTGCTTTTACGGGTATCTGGTTGACCAGGTTGGAAGCCTCGAAAGGTGGATTCGCTGGGGGCGGTGACGTGGTCGGTGGTGCTGGTGTAGTTATTGGTAAAAGCGAGCCCAACTATAGAACGTAGTATAAATAGTTTACATTGAATTGATACGGTATAATTTGTAAAATCAATTAGAGAACGAATTAAAGGTTGCTTTTAGGGTTTAAGGGTTGCAAATTAAACGACGTTTTTAAACAACACGGAAGTATGGAACAACCGTGAGAAATTAAAAAAGTAGATTACATTTAATAGAATATTTGTAGTAATTTTAGATTTTAAAGTTACAGTTTTGGTAGGCCCAGATTATCAATACATATTCTTCACAGAATTTAGATTAATGTTTCTAAGTAGTTAACTATAATAAATTATGCAAAAATTTCATACTAACTGCTATATATTGCCAGCCATTGTTCACCCTGACGAGTAGAGCTTGCTCATCTATGATGTAAGCTAGTGTTCCAACTGGGCTGACAGCAGACATCTAAATATGCAACAACGTTGTATCGTTCATATATCACTGGAATGTACGTGAACGAAATTTTTTTAACATTATAGAAGGATTCACCTTTGTCATTGCTTCTGTGTTTTGGAAAGTCACTGCTCCTGGTACGATTTTTGTCGTGCTTTCTAGAGGACCTCTGGTCGCAGCGGTTGCAGCACCTTATACAAATTTCATAGATAATTAAGAGATACGTCCAGAAGTGGATTAAACTTCGTTACTCGATCTTTCGAAACATGCATTGGATATTAATGATGTACTTGTCGGAAACATCGATATAGAATATTTCATGTTCAGTATGCATTACCTAAATGCTCTTTGAGCTCTTTTAGTTGCTTTAGTTCGCGGAGTGCCTTTAATTCGTCCAAACTAGTTCTAGCTCCTTGCAGCATAGTAAACAAGAAATTATTGTTTAACATTAAACACGCCATTCACGTTACTCTATCCTCGTAATTTTGTATCTTCTTCGGAGAGTTATAGAGCTTACGCATTTTTAGACATTTTAGTTACATATTTGATAGATTTTAGACGTTTCATAGTTATACATTTGTAAGAGTATGGTCGAGAGAGCGTTGGGGCTCGTGCTGGTTTATGACCCGCAGACCGAGAGGTCCCAACGCCTTGACACCCCCACGCGCTAAGGGCTGGGTCAGGTAAGGACCCAGCCACGTGCGACACTGACTTTTCTCCGTAGAAACCCCCAACCTGTGTCAGGGTTTCCCGGAGGCAAGAGAGGGGCGTCAAGGCTTGTATATAAGGACGCGTTAAATAAGAATAGAGAGATTGTACTAGAACGGATTAGGAAGCGAGTAGTTGATAAGGACGGACCAGAAAGAACGAGACGTCAACGACAGACGGATGAACGAATATAGCTTCCAAAATCAGTTTAAACAAGCCTGACGTAATTTCGATTACGTTCTACAGTAAGTTTCTCGTACCTTGTCTAACTCCATAGTAGTCCCTCTCACCGTACATGTGACCTCTGCCGATTCCTGGCTCTCCTTTCTGTCCAATCAAAGACAGTCCAGGTGGTCCCGGTGGTCCAGGAGGTCCCGGAGGTCCGGGAACAGGAATATAATTTCCTTGGGACGGTGTTCCAGGTGGTCCCGGTGGTCCTCTTTGGCCGTCTCGCCCAGGTTGCCCGGGAATCCCAGGGAACCCGTCGTCTCCCTTGTCACCTTTTACCTACACATTGTTCAAGCGTGTAAATGTAAATTTGCCCAGTCTACTGTACGCGAAGAACGCGTTATCAAGGAGATATCTCCAATTTTTAAAATTGTAGAAAATAGATGAAAGTTACGTTTATATCCTCCGAAAAAATTGGTACTTTTCATTCAGTAGTTATCTACGAAAAAAATCTCAAACTTTATCTGCTCTTGCACAGAAAATTAAATTCAACCTTAAACTTTATTTTCATACAAAATATAACAACGAAGGAAAAGTAGACGTTCGTTTAAAAATACGAGGAGGCAGAAAATCTTGAAAAACCGATTCCATACAAATCTCCATAACGCCTTCGATTCAAGCCCCTGTATTATATCATTCAATTTAAATAGGAATGCGACGCCAGCGAAGAAACGCTTACGATTCACGGGTAAAAGATACTCGAAGCAAGTTCGTCGGAATGGAAATCGGTATAAATCACGGGACACGTTTTCGTTGCGCGCCGTTCCAGAACACAACAAAACCGTCGGTGTTTGCCTTACGTTCGCGCAGCTTTTAAACTAAAAGTGTGGTGAATTAAGCCCTGCCATGTGCATTCGGTCCTGCTTGTCACTTGACACGGCTTCGGTGAAATCTCGACGAATTTCTCTTCGAGGGGGAGGGAGTAGAATAAATCGAGTCGTGGCTTCGCTAGTCGATAAAGACGAAAACGAAGAAGGGAAGGGAAAAAAGGGAGGCGAGCAAGCGTCAACCGCACACTTGCATTAATTTCCGTCACCCCTTGCGTTCTACGGCTTGTTCAATGAGACTTGCTGGTGTACAGTGTGATCTACGAGCACCGTTACAAGTTTCGCGAGCTTCCAGGAGTGGTCGTTCCGACTAAAAAATGTTCCAGTCTCTCTCGTACGAGCCATTTCGCGTCTGTAGTTGTGATTAAACAGTTTTCCAAAGTATTAAATCGTGTATCTGAAAAACACGAGGAAAATTGAGAAAGTGGAAAGAAGCTTGAATTTGCTGTCTTCTTTCACGTTTACACTTTCGTCGTGTACGATCGAAAATTCGTACAAAATTTCTTTTCTCGAAGACAGGTGCGTGTTTGAAAATTACACGTCGTTGCCAGGAAATATGAACTCGTGCTCGTGTAACATTTTCCTTTTCTTTTTTTACTTAGAATGACCTTTCCGGCAATCTCCGAAAGTTTACAACTCGAGTCGTAGATCACCGTGCACATCTCCACTTTAACCTGTCACCCGCTACGAGACAGGATAAAAAATGCATCCATTATCCTTATTCGTTTCGCGGTAGGGAAACTTTTTAACAGTTTCCCTTTGCCGTCTGACTTTTCCCTGGCATTAATTCCGGTCCACCTAAGTATTGGTAAGATGCTTGCAAAGTGTAAAAGATGATACTACTTGTTCTGCTAGATTTATCAACAAATGTTCTTTCTTTCTTTTTTCGAACTTTCTGTCAATGACTTTTATCTGATATCTGATATTTTATAAAATAATTTATTTTGTAACGCTGTTTTGTTGCGTATAGTATAGACGCAGCTTTACGCAGGATTAACCCCTTGACTTATGACAACCAGTCAGACTCGTGGCAGGGATTCCGGTCAAGATGTGAGAAAAACAGTTGTATTTGTAAGAAAGATTCACTTTAATCCTTAATTTCGTTTTAATTTCGAGGGCCGAGGATTGCTAAATGTAATTACTCTGTAATAGAGTAGTTTTTGTTGCCGGATACAGGACTAGAACGGTAAAATGGCTGACGCTTAGATGCACAGTCGGAAAAGAAATCATATGTTAAGGGGTTAAGGAAAACGTCGATTACTCTGCTAACACGTGTCTCATGGGTTTCAAAAGGGGAACGGTTTCCGAGCATTTACACTACCGATTTTGACGAAGAACTGTAAATTATACTTACGCCAACAGAAACTCCGTAAGGACTCGGCCTGCCGGGCTCTCCTTTTTCTCCCTTGGGCCCCCCTGGTCCAGGAAGTCCGGGAGTTCCAGGATGACCCTGTTAGAAGTAGTTACCGATACATAGCGTTCATGTTCTACCTTCCTGTTCATGAATATTCTATATTCATTAACCCTTTAATTAATCTCGCGTGCAGTTCAATCTAGTATACACCTCGTCCGATTACAGTGATTTCTAATTTTATGACCTGATTATCACATTGTCGCTCCAGGCAATTAATCCGCTAACACGTTTTCCAGTAATTAAAGGGTCATTTGATCGAAAGTGCGAGGCGATTTAAAATGATCGTAATAGAGGCGTCCGCACTTGTTGGTACGAGCCACGATATAGCGAGATCGTAAAATCGGTCAGGAGTCGAAGTAAACATGTTTCTTTGGTTAAGGATCTGAAATTACTGTCATGTTTGAAAGCTTCGTCGTTCAAGCGAGTTTTACGAAACATTAATGGTTATTCAGGTACGAGGAGAAAGTTTAAATATTCCAAATGGTAATTAACATTTGCGGTTTTTCTACCGTTACTCCTTTACTTTGCAGAAACCCAGAACGGAATACAGCGTACGATCGAGTTGATTATTTTCTTAAAATACAGAAGTTAGGTGAGATTTTCAGGCCTCAGGGGTGGTCTAACCCTTTAACTGCGGCGACATCAATCGGTCCTGCAGCTCGAGGATTTAATTTACGATCTCGTTATATTCTGGTACCGTTACGATTGCAGGTACGCTACGTAATACTCACTTTCATCGTATTCTGCACGCAGCAATGGGGAAAGAATATTACGATTTTACAGTTAGATTTTCAAGCGAATATGGTTAACTGTTAATTGCTTCAATTGTAACGGAGTGTATTACAATTATCTGTCCGATTTTACGATGACGTGGGAAGTTAGAAGAGTCACTTCGTAGCACTCGTAAATGTTTCACGTTGCTTATACTAGTTCGTTAAAAAGTACGATAAAGGTAGTAGATCGAAAAGTTCATTTTAATCATACTGATTTTTCCTGAAAATGTGAAAAGTACTTGTTTAAAAAGAGCCAAAGAGAATTTTCGTCTCGTTTGCACTTGACAAAATTATTCTGCATTATTCCGAATAACGATGTGCTAACGAAGGGACTCTTCAAGTGTCATCTTTCAAGTAAAAAATAATTTTAAATATAACAATACGACACTTTACGTAAACTTAAAAAAGAATGGGGAAAAAGCGCAGATTTTGACTGAATAACATGCGACAATTCGTGCGAGCAGAAGTAACGAAATAATTGTTTAAAATCCTTCCAGCGCGTAAAAGGGAAATCAAACGGAGATAGACTAGATGATTGATAAAGGGGGGAGGGGGGGAAGGACGAGAAAAAAGGTGAAAGAAATTTTCTCATACCACCCATCCAGGTAACCCAATTTCTCCCATCACTCCCGGTTTCCCAGGTGGTCCTTTAGGTCCTGGCGGTCCAGGATGTCCTCTTCTGCCCCTCTTGCCCTCCGTGCCCTTTTCACCCTTGATAGTGATGTAATCGCCGGAGCTCACTATGGCCGTGGCTCCTGGTGGACCTCTCTCACCTTTTTCACCCTTTGCTCCGGTGGCCCCGGATGTTCCGTTCTTCCCTGGCACGCCTTTGTTGCCCTGAGGTCCTTGAAAGCCATTCACACCAGGAATTCCGGCTGGTCCAACGTCACCTTTATCTCCCCTCTCGCCTTTCGTGCCCTTGTCTCCTTTGTCTCCTGGCGCACCGATGTCGCCCTTGTCGCCCTTCTTCCTTAACACTAATTAATTCACCGGGTTAAACAAAGACACCTCTCGCGCGAAGAACACGGAGTACATAAAGAGGTGGAATAAGTTTCATCCGAGGAATTCAAAAACGAACGCGACCGTTTCAGATGTTACTTCGGGACTCTGTGTTTCTGAAATACACCCGGCTGTCGTGTTCACTTTTGTAATTTTAATTACGAGCCTCGAGAATTCGTTGACGATGCAGCGTAGATCTTAAATTTGAGAAATTACATTTGCCGAGTAGGTATTTAATTTTTCAAAGGAATCTTGACATCTGTTACGAGAAACGATAGGTAAAATTCGGTAAAACTTGCTCTCGTATTCAGGGTTGATTCCTTGTGAATAAAATAAGTCTAAATTGTCGAATAAATTTATCGAAAGATCGTACTAGGGTTAACTTGTAATTTCGATTTTTGTTTTATAACTACGATTGCTGGGAGATCTTGGATAACGGTGTTGTTTAATAGAAATGTTTCTTACTCGATTCTTCGATAGTGATTCCTCCAGGACCGCTTAATCCAGGTAAGCCTGGTGGTCCAGGTGCTCCAGATAGACCTGGTTTCCCTTCTGGTCCTGAATCGCCTTTATCACCCTTTTCCGCCGGCCTTCCGTTCTCACCTGGTGCACCAGGAAGCCCCGGTGATCCCGGAGCACCAGGTTCACCCTTGGATCCCTGAATTCCCCACGGACCTTCTTTCCCGTTGTCACCTTTCGCACCTCTGTGTCCTGTTTCGCCTTTGACACCTTTCTCACCAGCGATTCCCGACTCTCCTTTTGGTCCTGGATTTCCTGGAAGGCCAGCTTCGCCTTTTTGTCCCGGCAATCCTGGTCTCATCGTAATGCCTTCCGTCTAGATATTTCAAGTTCATTTTTATCGGGCACAGACAAATTTTCATATTTCCAGTTACAGTCATAACTTATTCAAATATATATTTGTACTCTTCCCGGTTCGAGAAATCTTTCGTAGAAATAGTGAGCTATCGAAATTCTTAGTTGGACGAAAAGACATTTTCTATTATAGAACGTAGAAGAATTCCAAGGCAACAAGTGAATTTTTACTGTAATACTGTTTATCCTTTTAACCTGCGAATCTGTCTGTTCATAAATCAGCTACATTAATCACTGGACATCTTAAACAAAGTGACACGACGTTAACCAGAATTGTTCCTTTAGAATGTACGCAAGAGATACACGGAAGTGAATTAAAACGTAAAAGGAAGAAATTGTAGTAATACAATTGTCGTTCCATATTCATCACAAAGTTTCGCGATAAATTTCAGCACACCACAGAGTGGAAGACCGAATGCCTGTAGCATACCGGTACAATCTCGAAAGAAGCTTTCGTTCCAAAGTTGCTCTAAATATGGAACTATTACTCACCCTATAAATGCCTCGAGGTTTCCAACTGGGCTGCATGCGCATAATAGCCGAAATTTCTCTGTTTAATCATTGGTATAAGGTCGTAAAGCTAAAAGCAGCCGGTCGACCCGACGTGCCACCTGCCCGTTTGTATCGTCTAATGGTCGCTGACGAACAATCCCCGCTTCAAACAATTGTCTATGTTCAACTCCGATACTCTCCAATGTTCAATTCAACTATTATCCTATTCTCGGTTCCAGTTAGAGGAGTTGTTTGCAAAGCAAACAATAAACTGATCGTCTTGTCGGGAACTTACCGTGGCTTCGAATTACTCAATATCTTCGAGAGCTATTGAAAACGGTTCGGTCAACGGCGCGAAGAACAGAATATCGCTCATTACTTATTTCTCCGACTTCAACAGAGCCGCCGTATTCTTTGGACGTTGCGTAAATCAAATGCATCGTTATCGATTTTATTTTACGCTTGTAAAGATCCTGTTTAACTATGCTCTTACACAATGTACGCTGTACAGAGTGGTGCATGGGAACACCTAAACATCCGCGCTGTTTGTAAATACAAACGTCCACCACGTTTGAACGTGTATTCCTTAAGCTGACTTAATGCTTACTAAAGGAAAAATGCTCAGAAATAATTTAACTGAAGACATTTTGGCTTCAGGGAATCTCCAAATGTAGTACTGTGGTGCTACTTTTCATAGATCTAATTCGACGTGATAATTTTTGTCTATATTCAAAAACAATTACATTATTTTTCCAATTACCTTTGAAAAAGTACAGTAGAATTACTATACCTCAAGTTTCACGCAACATCTGCCTTTAATTTACCCTTAATCTCCATTAAAATTTCTTTCTCCCGTAAAACAGCATTTGTTTCCATTAATAGAACCGTATGTTTCCCTATGATAAGTTTCACATCTAAACAAACAGATTATTCGCGGTGAATTCTTACCGCCCATTCATCAGCAATATTTTATCACGCAAATATTACACGCGAGGTTAGCGCAAGTCAATATTTATATTGGCGATTGCAACAACCGCATTCGGCTGAGTATTTATTAAACGGTGAAGCCGTTTGTTTGAAATGGCCATCGTACCATTCGAAATTAATCGACACGGGTGCTCGAACGAAATTTCAAATCACGGTAAAAAAAAAAGCAGCCAGGGGATCGTGAAAAGAGCGACACTGGATGGAGTAGAGGGGTGCGTTTCGATAGCGAAACAGTCGCGGGAAAAACGTCGGTCGATATTGTGTTTTGCGTGTTTAATTCCATCATACAGGGTCTGAGGTTCCGGTGACCGGAAACGAATCGAACGTTTGCTCCTCTTTCTTTCGTCTAGAGTCTCCGAACGCCTATTTATCAACGCCACAGTTCTCTCCCCTTATATGTCACGCCAACCCCTCAAAACTTTCGGACTTTCTCCGGCTATCGAGAGGCTGGCATTCGATGGCATTCTTTCTTTTCCTTTATCCAACGACAGATCGTAGCCGGTATATTTCGAGCAGATTTCCGGTGACTGAAGAGCCGTGGGATGTCAGTTCCGAAGATAAGTCAACAAGATAGCCTCGACTAACGTGAAAATTGATGTGTCTATGCGTTCGGTTTATTCAGATTTCGTTTCAACGGGATTCTCGCGTATAGACGGTCGAGCGGTAGCTGTCTTTGGGAATTTTTTGCAAGAAAACTGCCAGAGCTATTGAAATGAAACTTGGTACGATTGTTGCTCGTATCTTTCACTGTGTGCTTAATTTTTCTGCTGGTAAAATACAGTGTAGTTATCGTGTGACGTGTACCGGAAGTAACTCTTGCACGAAGAAGAAAGAAAAAAATTTTCTCAGCTTTGGAACATCTGAGATAAAAATGCCACGAGGGACCAATCACGTAATAGTTCAGGTAGAGTATCCTCCACTCTAGTTGAAAAATATCAAAGAATAACGAAATGACGGGGGGTCAAAGTCGTGCTTCAAAATTTGCCCAAAAATCGTTACTTCGGGAGTCCTTAAGAAATAGTAATTTTTGGAACTTCACGATTATAGAAGACGGGTGACTATGAGAGGAAGTGAAATAAGGTTCTACTACTTTCAGAACATCTGTGTCATCCATCGAATTGAAAAACATTGACATTTTTCATAAATAACTTTCTATTTCTAGCGTGAATAACGTCTAAATTAATAATAGTACTTTGATATCTAAAGGTTTTTAAATCTTCATATTCTACGACTGTTTCAATTGAACGTAACGTCAAGTAGTATCTTCCAAGGCACGAAAATGAGTATCTGAAATATTCCGCTGGACATAACGTTAGGTTAGCACACACAATTAACCTACGACTGACACGGTCATTGAAATGACTAGGTTTAGTATGAATGACGTCAAATTGCTTCATTTTACACAACGACCTTACTACCAACGTACAAGCAAGTAGAAATTAACGTAAGAAATTTCTCAATAGTCACCTTACTCCTATATAAAATGTGTAACATTAAATTAATTCCACAATAAGCGGTAGTTATTGAAAGTTATTATTTAAAAATAATACTGTATTAAACTAACTGATAATGGTGCATTATCGAATTATTTATTATACATTTTAGTGTAATTTTAATATCCTCACTGTCTGATCCTTCAATTTTGCTTTCCCTTTAAAGAACACTGTGCTACATTATCACACCAATTTTTATCTACTGAAATGTTAATGCACGTCAAATTTAGTCTGGTATTAAATATACACCGAATTTGTAACACATTTTTACGTTCAAGTAATCTCAGCGATATGCAAATATTTTTAACGCACACCCTATATGTATATAACTTCAAAAAATTCAGCGCGTTAATATTTAAGTACACAAGAAGGTGAAACAATGAAACTGATGTTACCTATTAATACAGACAATTTAAAGTTAAACATCGGAACGTTTATTCTGAAACTATGGTAGTCTACGCGCTCGAATAATTTTCACCAAAGCGAGTTTCTGACGGTCGATCTTGCCAGTCGGGGTCCAAACTAGACAGTTCTAAAATATTTATTTACCATCTATTGTACACAAACGGTTCGTCATCTCATTGTCAGTCTAGCTGTCACTTACGTTTAACCAGAAAACATGTTCAAATGTTCCGACTGATTTGAGAAATCAGACATAGTACAGCATCTGGAAAGAGGCTAGGTGAATTTTCACCCGAGGAGCGTACGAGGGTTGACACTGTTTCGCAGCTTTAGAAAATTCCCAATGAAAGAACAATTTAAAAACAATAATTGAAATTTCTTTAAATTTATTTTTAGAAGAAAAATCTTGAAATTTCCGAAGAAGAAAGTAAACCGACGCGACGTAGAGGAGAACGCGAGTTCATGCATAAAATTCATCTTCGGCATCCCCGCGATAAAAAGGGAAAACTCGAAGTAAGATCTTCAAGATTCCTTTACGTCATCGCGTTTAATCCAAGGCAGCTCGTCTTTACCTCCCTTCCAGTGCGCCCTTAGCGCGCTGTCACCTTGGAAGGGTGGGAGACGGTCTCGAGGGGTGGACGGAAAGTCCCAAAAATCTGGAATTTCCTCCGGGTGACTAATCGGCAAGCGGACCGTTACATACAGATATGCCTTTTATGGTATGTTCGTAGGCTATTGAGCGCGAGGGACACAAATTACTAAAAATCTAGCAAAGCAATAAACGAAAATCCTCAACTCAAAAATAACCGTTCCCGGTCGATCGTGCCATAAACCGTTTCTACAGAAAACCCAACACCAGGAAAACGTTCTTCCTCGTAGATGTGTATTTTTTTCCGACGACTGTGAATCGTTCTCCTAAGCAAACCCAGCTCCGCCACGAATCGCTCACCTGCCTTACCTGGTCTGGTACAGCCTAGAAATTGGTTTCTGTATTCCCAAGGGAAATCGGACGCCTGCCTGTACGTTTGAGCACGAACCGGCGCGGCGCGGCACCAGGTCACGTAAGATAACACTCGAGGTCCAAGGAAGGTACTTGGGTTGTCGGGGATTCCGGAAGCTCTAGCAAGGTCGCAAAGTCCTCCGCGGGGGGTTAAAAGGCGGTCGAGGGGGCGATTTTCCACGAGTTTCGGGTCTACGCGCGCACCGTTAAAGCGGTTTAATTAATTTAAATGCCTTGCTGCACATCTGTTGGATTTCGTTGAAATTAATTTCGAGTGTGTTGGTCGTGGTTGGTCAATTTCTTTGGTTTAATAAGATAGAAGAGGCGGAGCTGGGCCGGATGCGATACGGTTGTTTCATTTGTCTCGTGTACACTCCAGGTCGGAAGTATCGGGATATGTACTTGGTGGATGTGGATCGTACTGAGATCTATTGAGCTCTATCTGTAATCTGCTAATCTGTCGAAACTCACGGCAATTTATTAAAATTTATTTACTGAAATCTATCGAATTGTGTCGAAATCTGGCAAAATGTAGTGAAATCTACTGAAATCTGTTGCATTCTATCGACATCTACTGTATTCTAGTCATACCTATTGAAATCCTTTCAAACCTACGCAAATTTACTGAAATCTACTGAATTTTACTGAAAATGTTTACAAATAGGGTTTCACGCATATATTTAAAAGTAAAGAATAGCAATTGTTAAAAATGACTATATTTATTTTACTGTCAAAATATTGTAGTTTAGATCTATTCTGTGAGTACAGCGATTTTTCCAATGCGTCCCGTTTGCAACAAACCTGTGAGTTGATAAAAAAGTAGAAATGCAAATTTCGCATGGCCAGAGGTTTGTCGGTGTTTCTAGTGAAGAGGAACACGATAAACTACACATGTATACGCCACTATCTAAGGTAGTTTCCAGACAGTCCGTTTACCAGATGCGGACTGTTGAGTCCGTTATCCGTTACAAACTCCGAACAATAAGTTCATTTCAAAGTCAACATTTGACATCCCCGTAAACATTTCCTTTATGTAAATTTACAACCTCCACAATGCACAACACTGAGTTAGCTGTAAAATTCCCACCTACCGTGTTGTATTGCCAAACTTTAGGTTAAATCCCAATGATTGCACAATTTTTAAAACTCTTTTATCCCAACTATAACTAATTTCGTAAGTGGTATCCATATGTACAAATTGTTCATAACAATAAATAACGTAAAACATAAATTTTTGCATTCAGAAATATTGAAAATTCAAAATCTGTCAAATCTATCTAATCGATACTCAAAAATTTATGTTTTTGTGTGGAGAGAACTGTACGTAAAGAAACTCGTAGAATTCTATTAAAGTTCGTCTAATTAAATGTAGTAAATTTTAGAATTACATATCTTCTATGTATGTAGCAGTTTAAATTATGCACAGTTCAACTTTCGTAAGCATAATTCATCGCGGCGGCTGTTATAAATTCGCTTCTAGAGTTCTTATTTTTAGCTTGCTGCTATTAACTAAAATGTACGATAGTTACATTATTACAGTAATAAATCTGCGAAGCTTGCATACACGTATCCCTGCTTGAAATTTTCTGAATTTATGCAAAACGTAAAATCGATACAAATTTTTCTCATGTTACAGTACTTTTTCTTATATTGTCTAATCTCGTGCTCCGTTACTATTAAACACCACGTTTTTCCATTAAAATGAAATTAACTTCAGGTTGCGTTTTAATCGATATTTCACATTTTCACACATTCCTGTTGATTCGAGAATTTAATTTTGAATTTGTTTCACTTGATTTGAATAATTTACTTGAATCAGTGTAGAAATAGTTCTGTTTTTCTTAACGCAATAAGAAAAAAGTTATCAATTCTCTGTTGCAAAATTGTTGAAGAGAGGTAACATAATTTTTTCCACAGATCGTTGCGGTTAATGCAAATTTTCAATTTTAATAAAAGTAATTGGTAAGTCACACTACGTAAATTGTAAGAAATGGACCATACGAAAATACAAAAACAGCAAAGAAATGTAGAAAAGAAGTTATCAGTTGTATTCAAACAAAAATCTCCAGTTTGATCAGAGAAAGTAGATAAAGAAGTTGAATCTAAAACTTCGAAGAATCTAACAATTTAAAAAGAGTTACCGAGATTGTGAGAAATTACATTTGCATGAATCAACGGAGAAGAAAAGAAACGTGGTCATTATCGATCAATATTAAACAATTCGTTAACGTTATTACGTTTCACGGTCTACATTCGTACGGTTGAAATGGCAAGGCCAGGAGGAGATTCACGAAAAAATCATGCACTTCGTTACGTTTAGTTTGTTTCTTTCTCGTTTCATTCTTGCCGGTGGCACACTTCCAAATGTTACGCCGCGAGAACAAAACGAGAGGCCTGACCTCGCCTGCTAATTGTTGAAACGTCGGAAACTCGAAAGAGCTTTGTTCGTTCCCCAAGTACGTTAAAAGCACGGAAAAGTACGGAAAATCGTGCCGCTTCCGGCGGCGGGCTACGATTGGGGCTATCGCGATAATAATTTCATTGAGTCGTTGACGTTAGACGAAACTCACCCTTTGTGGATTTTTCTTGATTTGTTTGCCTGTGTGCGTGTGAAGATTTCACACCATGTTATCGCTGTTTTTCTTTCTTACCGACTAATTTCAATTGTTTCCGATTTACAGATATCTTTTTTATCGACTTTCTGATAAATTTAAACATATCTTCAATGAAATTTCTGTCATGTCGCGTTAAAAAATTTGTTTTATTTTCTCGTAGTAAACGTTAACGTACGGACACGCCCGGTTTTTTTATTATAGTAAGTGTAACATTTTCTTATTATTTTGCATTAAACGTTAAATGGTAGATTATTATAGAATTCACAAATTACTCGATTACAGCCTTTCTAAGTAAATTTAATTACTACAAATAACAAGCACGAAAGAAGAATAAAATAGAAAGAATACAGCAGGAGCTATTTGCAATAATTGATATTACAACTTTGAGAAAGAATTTACGCAATCTACCAGCAAGAATTTAGGTATTGTGCAATATCTTCAGACGTTGTCAGGAAAGGGCCATCGAGGAGGTAAGAGGCCGCTTAGAAATTCCTTTCTACGTCTGTGTAAAGTCTAGTGCCTGGAGATCTATCTTACAGGCATTTCAAAATCCCACAATAAAGAAATACAAACTAATGCAAAAGACTATTAAACAATAATTCTACAAAGCTTACTTTTACTTCTAATTATAATTAACTACACTTTCATTACTACAGAAGAATAATACTATCCACGATACATTTACCACAAAAATTTACCCGTTCAAGAGTTTAGAATTTTCAAAATTTGTTCAAATGTTCCAGATTTTAGCTACTCCTCCTAAACACCATTTTTCTATAAACAATCTCTTCTACAATTCCGCGTATATCGCCTCTCATTGCTCCGCCATTCAAACTCTCCGCCTCCATTCTGCTCAGAATCGTCCCAATTAGTCAACGGATTAAGATTATTTCTCGCGTGAAAACTTTCGAGGACCTCAATCATCGGTCGGGCCATGAACAATGCACCACCGGTCACGGCCAAGGGAGCAAAACGGACAAAAGCCGCATAATACCGAAGTTTGTGTAGAAATTCACGCGAGAGCAACGAAACCGAGCTACGTGTTCCACATAGTACACGCGTCATATTCTACCCACGGAATACCGAAACGCGGTGTTCATTTTTCACCTGGGGGCGCATCAGCCACGTTTCGCACCCTATTTAATTTCTCCGCCGGCCTCCGAAATAGGTCATCCCCGATGGAGCACACATTCGCCGATGCGCTATCCTAACCTATCGCGCAGTAAAACGTTAACATACGGCTTCTTATTCGCTTTTTCCTCCTTTTTCCACGGGCCATGCGGAACGACAACGGAAAGAACGGCGGGTGGAGGGTTGCCGGAGAAGACAGGACGAGCAAAGAAAGGGCAGCAGCGAAAGAATGGAACAGAAGGAAGGAAAAGAGCCGGGATACTTGTCTCCGCCTTTATTACGTGCACGGTTACTTATTCCCCGCGGGCCGATATCGCGTTCCATTTCCATTCAACGAATTTCTTGCTGCCGGTGCTCGCCCCTCCGGAGCTCGAGACAACCGGGGCGAACAGTTGCTGCAGCCCGAGCTTTACGTCGTAAAAACGTGCAACGTACGCGCCACTCTAGGAACATCGTGTCCTACCAACTGGCCAGGCATTCGGGGATTTCGTCAATTTCACCGAGTCACACCGGGGCCAGTGTGTTCCAGAGCGGCTACGGGGTAGAGCGCACAGCTCTTCCGCGTTGCACACGCGGGAAACGCAACGATGCGTGCGTGTGCGATGCTAAAGGGAAACGCGCAGCGTCACGGAATTTTCCTCGTGACGAGCTCACGAGGAACGACAGAAATTAATGGTACGACGGGTGAACGCGATGTTTAACCCGTTCGCGATGCTTAATATTCTCGTTTGCTTAGGAAACTCTCCCTCTCTCGTCCGATGGAATGCACGGGATCGGGCTAGTTTATTGGACGCGAACGTGCACACGTTTTAGGGCCGGCGAAGGTCCCAACTGGGATGTAAATTCGGTTACTATACGGCCAAGGGAATACGCTGGAATGATAATTGAAGGGCTTTATGCCGGGGCGGACGAACCTCGGAATTGGACGTTCTCCTGCGAGAACGATCTTGGCCTTTTTCTTTACGAGAGCATGGTTCAATTGAACATTGGAGGTTTTGTACGTCTCTAGAACATATTTGTACGTTTCTAGACGTCAGATTGTTTCAAATTATTCTGTACTATTCTTTGTTATTCAGAAGAAGGTTGAATTTTGATATACATGCTCTATCGGCTGAAAGTTTGGAACCACCGTATGTTGTAAGTTAAACAAAAATTTCCAGACAAAAGTTAACAACCTTAAGAATTGTTTATCATTCAAACCAATTTATACGAGGTAAATTGCTATTTATCTCTGCAATATCAATTTCAAGTCTACAAAAAATTAGTAGCAGATTCAGTATTGATAAAAATTGGGAGGTGACTCCAAACTTTTGGCCGGTAGTGTAAGTGTTCCACTCTGACAGTCAAAGAATTTGTAGAACTTTAGAACCTGTATTTTATGTTTCACAAATTTATCAACAATACGAGCAACGTGAAAATGTTGTCCAATCGTTTCGCCAGGATCTTGACTATCCGCGTAAAAAGGATTCTACCAGAATTTATCACCGTAAACAGCAAACCCCGCATTTCACCGCAAGACACCGGCGAATTTAATTTAAAACAAACATCGTTACTTACATCGTATCCGGAGAATTCCCCCTTTCCCGGTGGTCCTGGAGGTCCTTGAGCGCCCTTCTCACCCGGTATTCCGTCGCGACCCGGTTCTCCTTTTTGCCCCTGAGGACCTTCCGGCCCCAGTATTCCCATGTCTCCTTCGTCACCCTTAGGACCTTGCGGTCCCTCCAGTCCTCTCTCTCCGGGTGGTCCTGGCGCACCCTGCACAATTCATCGCGATTAATTGTTTACAGGAATTTCCACCGACAA